AAAAAAAAACCGTAGGGCACAAAATTGAGTAATTTCTCCCATGGCGAATTTGAGTGATTATTATATCATGATTCGTATTTCTCTTAAAAAAACAATTATTTGAAAAATTGATATCAACATAACTAGGATTGATCTTTTGGACAATTAAAATCATGAGATGCTTATGTTCTTTAAGCTTAAAAGTGAAATGAGAAGAAGACTTCCCTTTTATGTACAAATAATGAGGAGATGCAAGAATTTAGTGAAAATATCCTAAACTTTGATAGAATTTGATGATGATAGTCAATTCAGTTAGATAACACCGATCATTTTAAGATTTTAAGTCTTTAATTTAAACATTAAGACATTGGTTGTTTGAACAATTAATATTTGAATGATGGGACCATCTAGGGTCAGGTATCCCTTGTACCTACTTAACATCAGGTACACCCATATTTCACCATTAGATTGACTAAAAAATGGAAATCAACAGTGGATTCAAGGGTACAAGGTAAAAAAGAATATTGGTAGTCTTATACTTTGTCTCGTACCCCTCGTACTTGCTAAAAACCTAATATACCCTTACTATATTTTAAAATTTAAAAATATTTAAATTCATTATAAAAATATATTTTTATTTATTTTCAAGCCCTTTATACTTATCTAATTTATGTAACAATCTTACATATAAAAAACAACAATTCCTCGCAACCTAAAAATAATTTACGAGTCAAATTCTTCTTCTTCTAACTTTGCTTCCAAAAACGTGTGTCATCTTTTCATAAAGATTAAATCTAATAACAATATTATTACCTCACCATATATACGAACGGTTCATGAACAATATTACTAGCCACCGCGTTGGGCTGCTGTAAAAATAAATAAATAAATAAATAAATCGGCAGTTTGACCGCCAGGGGAAGACTACGGCGAGAGGACGCCGGCCTGGGGCGTCAGAGGCTTGGCGGAGGTCAAGCGCCCTGAAGATGCGTGATGGACGAGTGAAGACATAGCTGATTAGCAAATTCAGTAACTTTAGGCCGAGTGAAGATGCGGCTTAAACTCTTTCTGTTAAATTTTCATTCTGGTTGTCCAGGATTTTTTATTTTTTTTTCCAAAACGACAGACTTATATATCATCAATAAATATGAACAAATCAAATGCAAAGAGCCTGATGTCTCACAGAAATGAACAGAAACCTTCCACACATTAAGGTTTAAACACTAAAAGACCAAACAAACAAATCAACTACAAGGATACCTAATGCTAAACAGATTAGAAGCAGAAAAATCTGAGAACCTCTAACTGCAACAAGAGATACAGAAACAACACAGAAACCAGAAAAATACAGAATAGCATGAGGAAAAAGAGACACCACTGAACCATAGGACCTAGTAGTCTGGTATTTTCTTCACTGCTACACTGTGTTATAGCAACAAGCTTGAAACTCCATCCAGTCCTTCTGTTCTGCTCTAAGAATGGAAATATCAGGCATCCAAATGGTTTGGAGTATCTAAAGATTCCTAGCCTTCCATAACCACCAAAGATGTAGGTGGTTAGTTCAATTCGAGCTCCTGAGATTTCCTTCTTGTTCACACAACAGACATTTGCCCATCAATTCTTGGATGGAACAGAATCCTCAGCCTCTTCCCAATGAACTGCAGCCATCTTCCAAATCCTTCTAGCCCTTTCACAATGCAACAGAGTGTGTTCAATAGATTTCCAATCCTCACCACAATAAACACATCTGGGATCCACTGCAAGACCTCTCTTCTTCAAATTCAGATTAGTAGGGAGAGAGTTATTTTAGCATTTCCAGATAAAATGCTTAAGCTTGCCTTTTACTCTCAATCTCCAACTTCGGTTTCTGACTTTCCTATCCTTAAGAGCCGAATCACTACTTTCTACTACATCAAGGTTCCTCAATTTGTTCAACACCAGATGAGAATAGGAACTAGCAACTGAGAATTTTCCTTTGGGGTCAAGCTTCCATTTCCACTTATCTGCCAGCATAGAGTCAAGGGATTTGATTTCCAGAATGGCCTTCACCTCAGAGGGGTGAAAGAAATCATCCAGCAGTTCTTTGTTCCAAGCTTTCCCTTCTTCAATCAACAAGTCACAGACCCAACTGACTTTGTTCACTCCAGCTTCATTCCAAGTAGGCAAACCATTATCAATCCCAGTGATCCAGGGATCGTGCCAAACACTGATTCTTGCCATGTCTGACCTCCACTGAGAAGCAATGTTTAAATTTGTACTTGATAACCAACCAATTGCACCACAACCATGAAGCATTGTATGATCTTTTTGCTTGCTGCAAGGAGCAGTCATAAAAATACTTCCCTTTGAGAAACTTAGTCACAAGCAGGTTGGGATGTGTAAGTAATCTCCAAATTTGCTTGAGCACAAGAGCTTCATTAAATAGAATTACATCCTTGAAACCAATACCTCCATCATCCTTTGGCAAAGATAGATGAGCCCATTTTTTCCAGTGTACTCCAGCTTGCAAGTCACTCTTAGCCTACCAAAAATTAGCAGATACTCTTGATATCTCCTGACACACTCCCTTCGGTAAGCAGAAACATGACATTGAGAAGACTGGTAGAGAACCAATAACTGCCTTCATGAGAATTTCTTTGCCAGTTGCAGATAGAAATTGATTTTTCCAGCTCATTAACATGTCTCTCACTGCCTTCAAAATATAATCAAAAGATTCCTTCTTAGATTTCCCAATACCTAAAGGCAAACCGAGGTATCTAGTAGACCTGTGTGATTTAATTCCTCCCAACAGATAGCAGATATCAGTTTTGAGTAAAGATGAGCAATTTCTGCTGAAAAAGATAGAGGACTTCCCCATGTTGTCACTTTGACCAGTGAATAACTGGTATCTGTGGAGCAAGGTCATAAGGGTCCTGGCATGGCCACCATTAGCTTCACACATAACCAGTGTGTCATCTGCAAACATTAAGTGGGACACATCAGGACTATGCTTTGCAATTTTCAGACCTTTGAACACTCCTTTATTCTCTTCTCTTTTGATAAGTCTAGACAACACTTCAGAGATAATTATGAAGATATAAGGTGAAATAGGATCACCTTGTCTGATGCCCCTCGATGCAGAGATGTAGCCTTTGAGATCACCATTGATGTTTAAGGAAAATGTTGGATATGAGAGAAAGCCTAGATCCAATTCACAAAGGTCCTGTGGAAACCCATTTTTAGCATAACCTTCTTGACACTATTCCACTCAATGCGGTCAAAAGCATTCTCCATATCAAGTTTAAGCAGCATAAATCCTTTCTTGCCTGATGAATGTATGTTGAGAAAATGAACACTATCATGTGCCAGGATCACATTATCCAGAAGTTGCCTCTCTGGTATAAAGGCAACTTGATTCTCACTGATGCAAGATGATAGACATGGTTTAACTCTCAGAGCCAGAATTTTGGCAATCACTCTGTAAGCAACTCCACATAAGCTGATTGGTCTGTATTGCTTCAAGGATGTTGGATTTAAGAATTTGGGTATAAGTGATATGACAGTATGGTTCCAGCTTTTCAGGAGCATACCTGATTCAAAGAACTCAGAATAGCTTGGCAAAAGTATTCACTGGTCACATTCCAGAACTTCTGAAAGAAGATTGGACTCATTCCATCTAGACCAGGAGCTTTACCAGGGTCGAGACTAAATAAAGCAGCTTTGATTTCTTTCACTGTCACTTGGGCTGTGAGTGAGTCATTTAAGTTAGGACTAATAGATTCTGGAATCAGTTGCAATATCTCAGCCTCTCCCAAAGACCCTTCTGATTGGAAAAGGTTCTCATAGTAGCTTCAAATATGCCTCTGAATATCATCATCTCTAGTCCACACTTGGTTGTTTTCATCCACCAGATTAGAGATATTGTTCAATTTCCTTCTCTGCATGGTGGAGGCATGGAAATACTTGGTATTTGAGTCTCCCTATTTGAGCCAAGTGGATCTAGCCTTCTGAGCCCAGAACTGCTCCTCATCTTTGGTAAGCCTGTTCAGTTTATTCCTCAGCCTGTCCCATTCCTCCCAGTCTCTGGATGGACCAAGGGTGCTCATAAGCTCTAATCTATCTGCAATTTTCTTCTTCTCTTGAATTTGGTCCCTTCTGAAGGTAGCACTCCACTTAAGTAAAGCAATTCTGGTTGCTTTTATTTTCTCAGAGACTTGAAACATTGGAGCGCCTTCTTGTAATTGATTTCACCCTGCTTGAATAACATCTTTGACCCCATCTCTACTCAGCCATCTCTTGTCAAAGAAGAATCTCTTCTTCTTTTGAGAGTGAAGCATAGGATCAGAATTTAAGAACAACAACCTGTGATCTGATGCACTCTTGAACACATTCGCCACTGCAACATGTTGATGTTCTGCTAACCAGGAGTAAGATGCAAATATCTTATCAATCTTCTCCTCAATGAAACCTTCATTCAGCCTGTTATCACCCCAAGTAAAATTATAGCCAAGCAATTGAAGTTCTTGCATTCCCATTCTAGATATGAACCCATTGAAATCAATAAACTCTCTATCAGCTTTCTGCTTCCCTCCCCTTTTCTCACTAGCATGACATATTTCATTCCAATCCGCCCCAAGCACCCAATTACTCCCCCAACTCCCTCTGGCTACCTCCCAAAATTGCCATTGAAGCACCCTCTCTCTCTTATCATTGCTAGCATACAAAAAGATAACCCACATATCCCCAACCCACCTCGAACTAGCAACTTGCAATTGAATACAAAATTGATTGCTGAGAATTTGTTTCACCTCCACATTCTGAATCCATAAGGCTAACAACCCCCCACTCAAACCTAAAGGGTCAACTGCAAACCACATATTCCTGAACCCAATTTTATTACAAACAGAAGAGACAATTTTTTTTTTTGTTTTTTTAGTTTCTGACAGAAAAATAAAATTCGGTCGGTGGAGTCTGGAAGACTCATTAAGCTGTGAAATTATATAGGGTCCACCCAACCCTCTACAATTCTACATCATAAGCTTCATTGATTCTCTGGGGGCCATTCAAGGCTGGCCACCCCCACCTTCATTTGGTTTGTTTTTAGCTTCTTGCTTCCTTGTGACTCTCTGTCAGCAGCTGGCTCATCATCTGGGTCTCTTATAATGTTTCTCTTTCTTCTTTTTGGCTTAATTTCTGCTTTCCCAGGAATACTCCTTAGTGCTTTGGTATTTTGAGCTCCCCCAGTTAAAGGGGTCTTTCTGGTCCACCTCTTTCTAATCAGAGGGGTGGATATGTGTTGAATTTCTATATTGTCCTGTATAGGCTCTGCCAGAGATTTAAGCACCTCATGATCTACAGCCAGCATGATACTTGAATTATCCCCTTGAATTAAAGCCCCTTCTTCATTAGACAAGCAAACAACTTTGCCTTTCCTCAAGGCACTATGAGATGGCTCTTCTTGATCTGAGGTATCTGCAATACTGATTTTTTTACTAGTGCTAGCCTTCACTCCATTACCAGCAGATTTAAATCATTCACCTCCTCGTCTGTCTCTTTGTTAGGTTCTTGTTCCTGGGGTTTATGACCTGGGTAGTGACTATCAGGATTAGATGTTGAGTTTGATCTGTATCCATAGAATCCATCCACAGCCCTTAACCAGTCCCCATATTGGCCTTCATTTAAGGCCCCCTTGGCAATATCATCCTCTTTTTGATTGCAAGCTCTCTTCAAATGACCAATAGTACCACAATAAAAGCAAACATTTACCAACTTTTCATATTGGAACATGGCCATGATTTGTGTCTCATGAAATTTAAGGCAAGCAACTCAAGGAAGGGGCTTAGAAATGTCTACCACCGCTAGCAACCAAAGAAAACTCCCTCGCTGTCCTCATGCTTTAACAACAGAGACCGATTTAACAGTCCTTAAGGGTTTCCCCACTCTTAAACTCACTTCAGTGCATAACCAGTTAATAGGAATGTTATTTACCTGGATCCAGAACTGCAATTCTGAGAATTTTTGGTGGTTCTCCGTCATGCCTTCCTCCCGTTCTGCCAGTGCCAGGTACTGATTTTCAAATACCCAATTGGTACCTTTCAGAACTTTGGCTTTATCCTCAAGACTCCCAAACAAGAATTGGAAAAAATTAGTCCTCAGTTCTTTGACCTCCATTTGAGCTTGAGTTTGCCAGATAGCTCCCATGGTGCGTCGTATTCCAATAAGACTCGCTTTACGGTCACCAATTATTTTTCCGAATAAGCTCCGCTTGCACTCCGCTGCACTAATCTTTATATCATCGTCCTTGAGATCACTAATACAACCTTCTGACTTTGATAAGGATATTTTCTTGAGTAAGCCCCCTAGGGCATCTGCATTTTGTGTTGAGCTCCCCGAGCCATTTACGTCAAACTCCATGGGGAAATTAAAACGAGCAAGAATGAAAATGAGTGTAGATTTAGCCCTAAACCAACCGCCGATGGAATTCTATCCTTCAATTAGAGAATCGAAGCTCTCCCTTGAGAGACTTTTTGCTCTCCCTTGAGAGAATTTTTGCTCTCCCTTGAGAGAATTTGTTGGCCTCTTCAATGCAATAGTTCAATAATGTCCAAGATTTCTTCGATTTGTTATTTCCATAGTTTTTCTTTGAGCCCATTCAAGTCACTATGTTTGACTATTTGATCAACATTATAGGTTGTGGCAGCTGTTTGTTTTAAGGGGAAAAGGCATGAGATTCCACAGGATATGAATCCTCAGATTGCAGCTATTATTGTATCTTGTTGGGCCAAGTGAGTTATATATCTACTTTCAATTGATGTTTGCAATGTGTAGCATTGTTTTTAGTTGATCATCTTGAACTTGTTTATCTGTTCATATTTGGGAACTAGGGTCAATGCAACCTAGGGTCAAGAGAGGTGGTGTCGAGAGGTGGCCGAATGAAAAGTCCCCTTTTCGCTTTTAACGAGTTAAAGAAAAAGAGAACCAAGACTAGGAATGATAGTTAAAAAAAAAACAAGGCTCCTTTTAGGGTCTTTTAGGTATACTTTGGATTGATAACATAATGCATATAATAATATGGTGTGGTTGGTTTTTGTTGATTGCTAATATAGAACTTAATTATAGTGTTACCTTTCAAATTCCTATTTTTTGATTGTCAAGTTCTATTTCTTTCTCCACTTCTGATTTCATTTCTTTTTATTTTGTTTTTTTTTATTTAGTTTATTGATTGCTTTGTAGCATTAGGGTGAATATGCTAGTTGATGTGCATGCATGAAACAAAATAATAAATTGCGACTAATGTGTGTCTCTTTTGAGTTGTACGTATGTAGCTTTGTAATTTGAACACCTTGTAGAATATCGCATTTGGCGGCTTGAGATAGTGACCCCGGAATCTATCACAGGTAAGGAACTTAGGAAACATATGCATTTTTCATCAAATACTTGAAGAAAAATGGTGGTGCTATCTATGGTAATTGATACCATTTCCTGATTTAGGTCTCTGATTAATTATGCCGCTGTGAGTTGTGAATCTACAGGCATAAAGCGCCTTTTGGGAAATAAGCAGGTGTGTGTATACATGGTTTGTTAGATCTTTTGTATTTAGCAGCATTATCTACCTAAGTAGCTGGAAAAAAGAATAGCAGAAAAGTGGACTTCATTAACCAGTTTGTAATAATACTCGTTGGGAGTTGATGCAAGTTTATAATAGCACACTGTTAGCTCCAAGGGTTATGCATCCTAAGATTCTGTTAGCTCGAGAAAGCCTTTTGCTCAAGTTCTTTTTGTTTTGGTACATTTCTCGTATGAAATGTGGATGTGTTGCACAATGCTCGAGTTCAAGGTTATCTCTGTTCTCATTTTCTGTAGGATTGACCAAAAGAAGGATTTGATCCAGGAAAAAGAACGCTCGGCTGGATCCCCCGGGTGCGCATTGAGGATGAGGCATATCGCGAAGCAACATCACGGTAGCCACGTTGCCAACAGATGGAATACACGTCCCCTTGAAAGAAATCC